CGAGTTCGATTACACTCAGCTTCGAGGGTACATCATTTACAACATAACTCAAGGCTAGAAGGGTTATCTGTCACTAAAAAACCTTCGAGTTCGACTACGCTCAACTCTAAGGCATATCATTTACAACATAACTTAAGTCGAGAAGGGTTATCTGCCAACCAAAGACCTTCGAGTTCGACTACCCTCAGCTCCAAGGCACATCATTTGCAGCATAACTTAAGTCGAGAAGGGCTATCTGCCAAAGACCCTTGAGTTCGATTACACTCAACTTCGAGGGAACATCATTTACAGCATAACTCAAGGCTAGAAGAGTTATCTGTCACCAAAAGACCTTCAAGTTCGACTACGCTCAGCTCTAAGGCATATCATTTGCAGCATAACTTAAGTCGAGAAGGGTTATCTGCCAACCAAAGATCTTCGAGTTCGACTATGTTCATCTCCAAGGCACATCATTTGCAGCATAGCTTAAGTCGAGAAGGTTATCTGCCAAAAACCTTCGAGTTCGATTACACTCAGCTTTGAGGGCACATCATTTGCGGCATAACTCAAGGCTAGAAGGGTTATCTGCCAACAAAGACCTTTGAGTTCGATTATGATCAGCTCAACGGCACATCATTTGCGGTATAGCTCAAGGCTAGAAGGGTTATCTGCCAAAGACCTTCGAGTTCAACTACGCTCAGCTCCAAGGCACATCATTTACAGCATAGCCCAAGGCAAAAAGGGTTATCTGTCAATAAAATTGTCGAGTTTGATTCCATTCAGCTCGATGACACCTCAATCACACTATTGTCTGACTGCAATCGAGGTTTTAAAGTCGAAAAGAAGACCTGGGTTAACCGTGCCTTAGTGACAAAAAAAACACTTTCCGGCAGCATAGATTAATTCAAGAAAAGCCATCTGTCGACAAGGACCTTTCGAGTTCGATTTCATTCAGCTCGATTACCTATCAACCACATGGTAGAGTCAAAGAATGATTTTCCAATCGAATTTTCAATCCAAGGTCTTTAAACCGAGAAAAAGACCGAGGTGACTACGACGAGAAGCCACATCCCAATTCAAATTCCGGACTACAGTTTCAATTCCATATCATTTCAAGATGGAATCAACCTCGCGACGGGGGAGCCAACTGCGACTCAAATTCGACAGGGAGTTATTCCTAATTCAAATCAATTTTCAACTCCACCAAGCGAAAATTTGTGTCCTTTTATCTTTGTCCTATTTTTCGTTCCACGAAAGAGGACAAAGAGGGGCAGCTGTAAACACTCATTTTCGCCCGGAGTTATTTTGTTATATATATAGTAATGTAGTTTTTGAAAATGTTTTTGAAAAATTAATATATAATTTTCAGAAAATGGTTTTCGAAAATTCATATATTATATAGTTTTTGAAAACATTTTTAAAATATATATAATATATAGTTTTGAAAACATTGTGAAAACATTTATATATTATATAGTTTTTAAAACATTTTGAAAATAAATATAATATATAGTGTTTAAAATATTTTTGAATATATATATATATTATAGTTTTTAAAACATTTTGAAATATATAATATATAGTTTTTAAATCATTTTGAAAACATATAATATATAATTTTAAAACATTTTTGAAAACTATATAGTTTTGAAAATATTTTAAAAAATATATATATATATAATTTTAAAATATTTTTTGAAAATATATATTATATAGGTTTTTGGAAAATATTTTTATTTTATTATTATTATTATTATTATTTATTTCTTTTCTTTTTATTTTATTAATTATTTTCTTTTAATTTTATTTTTTCCAGGTCCAAAGTCAAGGTTCGGGTAAAAGACCAACTGAGCCTGCGAGCCTAGCCCAGCAAGCAGGTCCGGTGGGAGTCCAAATGGGAGTTAGGGATTTTCAACATTAGTCCCAGCGTCGCATAGCCCACAACCGTCAGATCGAGATAGGATCGACAGTCAATATTGTAAGACATTTAGGGTTTGATTAACCCTAAAATAATCATCATACCGCAACCAGATCTGGACCATTGGATCTGACCCAATCCAACAGTCAAGATCAAGTCAAATGTTCCAGAAGCAAGTAGCGCCACCAACAGCAGTCAAGAGACCACGCACCGGTCATCGAGATTTCCGGCCGAGGGGATCAGGACTGACCCATATCGAATTCCCCGGCCAACCAACCACGAGCGTGTTACCATGATCGTCGGAACGACCACCGGTGGGGGGTATAAATACCCCCACCAAGCCACTGCCAGAGGGAACGAACAGAGGGTACACAACAGTAACCGAGTAAACTGAACAACAACAGTACATGATCGAGAGAACCATCAACAAACAGTACACAACCAATATCATCGAGCCAAAGAAATCACAAAAAAAAAAAATAGTACCATCAACGAAACCCACAAACAACATTGAATACATCAGCCAACACAAAGAGCCACAAAGACAGTAAACTGTGAACCATCGCAACCCATCAACACCAAAACATCAACCAACGAAAACAGAAAACAACAGACCAAAACCAAACACCCATACAAAAATATAAAGCTGAAGCATCAACCGAAGAAACCACTGGAAAAACGAAAGGTCATCGGAGAATATGAAGGGCCGAAGGTTTGGTTTTAGATCTACGCTTGTTGGGGTGTGTTTTGGGGATTTAAAGGTTGGTTTTGGGTTCACATCGCGGAGGAGAGCATTTTGTGGGAGTTTAGATATTTCGGCCACTGCTGGCGTAACGGAGAAGCCACCAGCCGGTGGCTAACATTCGACCGAAGGAAGAAAAGTTGAGAGAGTTCTCAACTCTCTCTCTCTTCAAGTTTGCAAATATGTGCAAATGATGATGGTTTGGCATTTTTTTGCCTTTGGAATGTGTATTTATGGAAATCGAAAACGTCGTGTTTTAGGCCTCACACCCGTGTTTTCAGAATTAAAAGGGGTAATCTCACTTTTGGTCCCCCTTCCTTTTAATCATTTGTTTTGCCCCTATTTCATTATAATTATATCCTTCAGATTCATTTTCTTTCAATTCGGTCCCTCGTTCATTTAATTAACTTTTCAATTAATTAGTTTTTTTTCTTTTTTTAGGTTTTTCTTTTATTTTCTTTTATTTTCTTTTAAATATCTTTCTTCATTTACTTATTTTTTTATTTAGTTTTTAAAAAAGTTTATATTTCTTTCTTTCGTTCATTCCTTCCTTTTATTTTCTTTTATTTTATTATTTCTTTTTTTCCTCTTCTCAATATAACTATTTTTTTATATTCATTTAACACTTTTCAATTATTTGTTTTTACTTTATTTTATTTATTTCTTATTTTCCATTTTTTCATTTGATTTATTATGTTATCATTTCTTTTTCTTTTTTTAATATTTGTTTATCTTTTATCTAACATTGTTACTCTTTTTTAGAATAAACTGCCAATCAGAGGTAAGTAATTCGAATCAAATATTTCAAATTTTAATTTTAATTTTCAATTTTCGCAATTAAAGACAATCAGTAAATTAATTGGTACCGAAAGGACGGTTCAAGGGTGCTAATCCTTCATTGACTATAACCGACTCTCGAACTCGACACATTTTTAGTTTAACGTAGATCAGGTAAGATGGTGTCCGACCCACCTAAATTCGTTTTAAAATGGTCGGTGGCGACTCCAACCCAAATCAATTCAAGTCGAAGCCCAATTTCGGGCCCACCCGAAAGACGATTCCCACACAATTGAATTGTGTGTTTAATTATTCTCCCGTAATTATTCAATTTAAAAAGAGCATAACTAAAAGAAAAATAAATTATTTGAGGAAAATATGTTTTTTTAAACAAAGTTCTGGATAGTATATCCATATAATTATTTGAAAGGAAAGGCTTTAATCCAACTCATTTCTTAATAAAAAATGAAAAAGAGTCATAAAAATAAAAATCTTGAAAACCTATTTTTCAAAAAATTTAAAATATTTCTTCTACCTCTGCGGTTACAACAGTTTTAATGGTTAAAAAACAATTTTTTAGTACGGATTAGCAATTTATAACATTTTTTATTATACAATTTAAACAATTTTAATAGTTAAAGAAATAATTATTATTTTTAGAGCTTGTAAACAATAACATATTTCTTTAAAAAATATGAAATTCATTAATTTAAAAGAAATTAATAAATATATGTAAAGAGCTTATGAATTAGGTTTGTTTTTCACCCTTTCCGTTTTGCTTAGTGATAAATAATAAGGGTACGTTTGGTTCACGGAATGTAAGATTACCCAGTGGGAATGTAAGATTACCAGTGGGAATGTAAGATTACCAGGGAATAGGATTACTGGGAATGTTGTATTTTGTGTTTGGTTGGCTTAGCAGGAATGTAAGATAACCTTGTTTGGTTAAAGGAATAAAAGATTATTGGAATGTATATTTGACCAAATTGTCCTTATTATATATTTGTATAATATTACAAGTTGAAAAATATTTATATATTTTCTTTAAAAAAAATTAAATTCATAATATTTATATATTTTTTACAAAATTAAAAATAAAAAAAATTAATGAAATTGTAAAATTTTGTTTTAACCCTTGAACTTCATATAGAATTTTAATTATAGATTTTTTTTTGTAAATCTAAAATAATTTAAGGATAAATTTATAATTTAACCTTTGTAGAATTTTTATTATTAAATGAAAGAAGAAATATATTTTTGAAAAAAATAAAAATTTAAGGGCATTTTAGTTCAAAATGTCGGTAATCCAACAATACATAAGGAAAGGGAGGTAATGACATTCCCGGTAATATACCCTAAAAAATCCACAATTAGTAATCTTACATTATCGGGAATAAGATTCCCGGACTAACCAAACGGGAAATGTGAATTCTATTCTCATACATTCCTCTATCCAAACACCCCCATAAAGGTAGATTAATTGTCTTTTGGCGAAGAGGATTTTTTTTTTATTGATTTTTTTTATTGACGTGCGAGAATAAGAGGTGCGAACTGTTTGGAAGACGGGAAAATTATATCTGGTGCTACTCAGGAGGTAAAGAAAATTATGGAAATAGTCCGTGAATCCGGCAGTAATTATCTTGAATTGAAGAATAAGGTTGAACAATGTGGTGTAAGGGTTTCCTCTGAGTTGGTGGTGGAGGTGCTTTGTCAGGTTCGACATGATTGGGAAGCAGCGTTTACATTCTTTTTATGGGCTGGGAAACAGCCTGATTATGCTTTTTCGTTGCGGGAATATCATTCAATGATTTCTATTCTAGCGAAGATGAGGAAGTTTGATACTGCATGGGCATTGATTGATGAAATGAGAGGAGGGCGAGCAGGCCCTTGTCTTGTGACACCACAGACTCTTTTGATCATGATAAGGCGTTACTGTGCTGTGCATGATGTGGGGAGGGCTATAAACACGTTTTATGCGTATAGGAAGTTTAAATTTGATGTGGGAATTGAGGAGTTCCATAGTCTGTTGTCTGCCCTTTGTCGATACAAAAGCGTGCAGGATGCTGAGCATCTGATGTTTTGTAATAAGGATGTCTTCCCATTTAATACCAAGAGTTTAATATTATACTGAACGGCTGGTGTAGTGTGATCGGGAGTCCACGTGAAGGAGAGAGGGTTTGGACCGAAATGAGCAAGAGAGGTGTTTGGCATGATGTTGTGTCATATTCAAGTATCATGTCCTGCTACTCAAAGGCCTCTAATCTTAACAAGGTACTTAAACTTTTCTCCCAGATGAAGTCAAGGGGGATTGAACCAGATAGGAAGGCTTACAATGCAGTAATCCATGCTCTTGCAAAGGCTAGGCATATAAAAGAGGCCATCAATCTTCTCAAAGTTATGGAAGAGAATGGCATTGCTCCAAATGTTGTTACTTTTAATTCACTGATAAAGCCTCTATGCAAAGCACGAAGGATAGATGAGGCTAGGAAAGTCTTTGATGAGATGTTGCAGAAGGACCTCACTCCTACAATTCAGACCTACCATGCTTTCTTTCGTATTCTAAGAACTGGGGGAAGAAGTGTTTGAGCTCTTGAACAAAATGAGAAAGATAGGCTGCCAACCAACTAATGATACTTATATCATGCTGATTAGGAAGCTTAGTCGATGGTGCCAGTTTGATAATGTCTTCAAGGTATGGAATGAAATAATTGAAAATGGGGTTGGTCCTGACCGTAGCTCATATACTGTATTAATTCATGGGCTGTTTCTAAATGGGAAGTTGGATGAAGCATACAAATATTACATGGAGATGAAAGAAAAGCAGTTTTTGCCGGAACCAAAAATAGATAAGATGCTGCAGGGTTGGGTTTCTGGTAAGCAATTCGCAGAGCGACAAGTGGCTGATCTGAAGAACAATCAGTTGCTAGATAACCAGTTGAACAAACGGAACAGAGTTCAATCGAGAAAACTTGAGCAAGAGAAAGATTTTCTCAAGGAACCTGAAAGCAGAAGAGTTGTCAGAGAAAGAGGTTTTTCTTTTTGGGAGCAATAGGTTTGCATAATACCGTAAAATGCCAGAATATCTGTGTATGGAATGAGACTATAGGCTTAAATACTAAGATTCCTTTGGATACTATCTGGCGCATGAGATTCTCCATCAGCAATAATAATCCTGAATGCCTCATTTCCTTATAACTATTTGATAATACTGTCTAACATTGTCGTCGAGAATATTATTTTTAAATCATGAATAACTGACACTAAGCATGCATTGAATACAAATTAGTTCGGGTGTTACTCCATGAATGTCATCTGTCCATCTATATGGAATGCACATCATATCTTTTATGAATGGTGAGATGTTTTTATTGTGCTGCTTCTCTAAACTGTTTTTGGATATAAAATCATCCGTGGCCTGATATGAATTATTCTTTTTCATGTCACTAACATACAACCGTGTGGCTACTTAGTCTTATGGGCATAGAGTAAGGGGGCTAGCACAACTATTGCTCCAGGAGTAACAAGTATTTATAGCCATACTTTGTCATGGTTGGAGAAGGAGATGAGGAAGGAGGAGAAGACGATCGGGGAGGTGAAGAGAGAATTGGGGAAAATGATAAACGAGGGTTAGGGATTGCTGAAGGAATTGGGATTGTTACCTGATGAAGTGAAGGTCACGTGAGGAGCACGGGTTCATTAAACCCAATTAATGTTTGAAGACCCAGCAGCCTTGAGCCCAACAGAGAAGTCCACCAGAGAAGCCTAAGATAATATGCAGTAACAGAATTAATTAGAATCTAAGCCAGCTGGCTTGTTAGATTTTGTAGTACACGGTATAAAAATAATTGTACCTGCGAAAGGAAGGATTATGCATCATTTTCATTGAAATGAATTCTGAATTTCTTAAACCTTTTCTGCTTCTCCTCTGAAATCTCTTTTTCTCTTCTTCATTATATCGTTTCATCACAAATTGGTATCGAGAGCCTCGGTTCTGGCAAGCAGCGGGCATGACAAAGAAGAATCAAAACATGAATGAAGCTGATCTATCAGGCCTGCAGAAACAGATGGAGGATTTAACAGCATTAGTGAAGCAAGGAAGGGACGAGACTAATCCACCTAAGTGGTGGGAAGTGCAGGAAAACAGAATCACAGCAATGGAATCAAGAATGGCTACTAATCAAAGCTATGTTGAAGAGTTGTTGAAGATTCTAACAGGCAGGACGGGTGAGCAGGAAAATGTTGCTGGTGAACAGGTACAAACTTCTAATGCTTCTAAAAATGGAGAACAAAGTCCTGTTTTGGTGACTGTGGTAAAAGATAAATCCAGATTCACTTATAAATCGGATGAGCCTGGGATATTAAAAGCAAAACATGATGATTGCGTGGTCTTAAAAAATGGGAATCAGTTAGGTGAAAATAGTGAATCTAGACCTAATTTGTTGGGGTCTGAAATTGAAAGAAGAGGTCCAGGAAGTTCTTTCATAAGTTCAGGGTCTATGTGGCATAGGCCTAAAATTGAGTTGCCATTTTTTGAAGGGGTTAATCCTAGGGGGTGACTTCAAAAATGTCTTAAATATTTCTCTCTGTGTAATGTTCCTAATGAGCAGAGGATAGAAGTAGCCACTATGTACCTAACTGGGAAAGCAGAGGTTTGGTTTGATTGGTATATTATGCAGAAACATCATGTGACATGGCATGAATTTGAGGCAGATCTTTGCCATAGATTTTGTGATAGGTACTTTGCTGACATAGTTGAGGAATTATCAAAGTTAGTGCAGAAGGGATCAGTGGAGGAATACCAGGACAGGTTTGAAGAATTGCAGCCTCATATGCTGTTACAGAATCTACTCTGGGTGAGGAGTTTTTGTCTCTCTTTTATTAGTGGATTAAGAGAAGATATCAAGCATAGAGTTAAGGTTTTGGAGCCAAAGACACTCTGAAGCTTGCAGACAAGCTAAACTATATGAGCTTTCTGTGGAATATGAGAATAAAAGAGGGAGTGCATTTTTTAGAAACCCACCCTACCCAAACCCATTACCTAGTACTAAACCTAATTTCTCAAACCCACAACAGAAAAGTTCAGCTAATCTGCCTCCAAAACAGAATTTGTTGGAGTACAGGAGACAAAACAACCTATGTTATAAGTGTGGTGAAAAGTTCTCTCCAGGGCATCAATGTAAGATAAAGCAATTGAATATGATGATTGAGGACGAACCTGTTTTATCTTCAGAAACTTTACCAAATGAGTTAGAACAGCAAGTGTTACAAGATGATGAGAGCCTAGAAATTTCTATGAATGCTATCACTGGGTGTATTGGTCATAATACACTAAGGATTCAAGGCACTATTCTAGGCAAGCCATTGAACATATTAATTGACAGTGGTAGCACCCACAGTTTTTTAACACCTCAGTGGGCTGATGCAGGGATTCATGTGACTACACCATATCCTTTAGTTATTACAGTGGCTAATGGACAGCAGCTTTTCAGTACAGTTAGGTGTAACAGGGTGGAATGGCAAATACAGGGACATTCTTTTATTCATGATTTTAGACTTCTGCAGTTAGGGGGAAGTGATATGGTCCTAGGTGTGGATTGGATGAAGTTAGTCAGTCCTATCTTAATGGACTTTAATAAACTGACACTCAGTTTTGTACATCAGGATGAACAGATTGTTATCAATGGCCAATAGCCCTCGAATTTTTTGCAACAGATTTCAGGAGCTACACTATTGAAAATGACAGTTTCAAATTCTGCTTTATTGAGGTATGTTGTTTTGATGAATATGACAGAAGGTTCAAGACCTACTCCTACAACTATTCAACCATTATTGGAAAAATACAATTCTATTTTTGCTGAGCCTACAGGTCTTCCACCTACAAGAACTCATGATCATACTATCACTTTAAAGCCTGATTCTATGCCTGTTAATTTAAGGCCATACAGATTCCCTCAAAATCAAAAAGCTGAAGTGGAAAAACAGATTGCTGCTATGTTATCTTCTTCTATTATTCAACCTAGCAAAAGTCCTTTTGCTTCTCCATGTCTTCTCATTAAAAAGAAGGATGGTACTTGGAGGTTTTGTGTTGATTATAGGCAGTTGAACAGCATGACAATTAAGGATAAATTTCTTATTCCTGTTGTTGAGGATTTATTGGATGAGCTACATGGGGCTGTCTACTTTTCAAAAATTGATCTCAGGTCAGGTTACTGGCAGATCAGAATTAAAGAGGAGGACATTTATAAAATAGCATTCCGAACTCATCAGGGTCATTATGAATTTAAGGTAATGCCCTTTGGGTTAACTAATGCTCCTGTAACATTTCAGGCTTTGATGAATGAATTATTTAGTTCATTCTTTAGGAAGTTTATTTTGGTGTTTTTTGATGATATATTGGTTTACAGCAGCTCTATGACAGACCATATTCTGCATTTACAATTAGTTTTGGATGTTTTGCAAAGTAATCAACTATTGCAAAACTATCTAAGTGTTTCTTTGGTCAGACCCAAGTAGAGTACTTGGGCCATATTATTTCAGCTGCTGGTGTTGCTACTGATCCTAGCAAGATATAAGCAATGAGAAATTGGCCTTTACCTAAATCCTTAAAATCATTGAGGGGATTTTTGGGGTTGACAGGATATTATAGAAGATTTATAAAGGATTATGGGGCAATTAGTAAACCTTTGACTCAGATGCTGAAAAAGGACTGTTTTAAGTGGAACAATGCAGCTTTGACTGCTTTTGAAGAACTGAAGAGAACTATGTGTCTTGCACCTGCGTTAGCTCTACCAGACTTTACTAAGATTTTTTATTTAGAGACTGATGCTAGTTCTGGAGGAATAGGGGCTGTTTTATCACAGGAGGGCAGACCTATAGCATTTTTAAGTAAAGCTCTCAGTCAATGCCATGCTGCTATGTCTATTTATGAGAGGGAATACCTTGCTATTTTATTAGCAGTCTTCAAGTGGAGACACTATTTAGAGAGAAAACCTTTTATCATCAAAACTGATCATGAGCCTTTAAAATACTTATTGGAGCAGAAACTCACTACTGCTATTCAAAAAAGGGGGCTGACAAAATTATTGGGATTGGATTACACTATCCAATACAGGAAAGGTATATCCAATATTGTGGCAGATGCTTTATCCAGGCAATGGGAAGACCAAGCTCAGTGTCTTGTCATGGGAACTACTCTAGTTATTCCTACTTGGGTACAAGAAGTGGAGGAGAGTTACAAGGATGATTTATTTGCTACTGAGTGGATTTCTAGTCTGACTGTGTCTCCTAATGCTGATTCTAAGTGGAAATATTCCAAAGGAATTCTCAGATTTCAAGACAGGGTCTATATTGGTACTAAAGGCTCTCTTAGGCTACAGATTCTTCAAACTTTACATGACTCACCTCATGGAGGTCATTCAGGAACTCAGGCCACTTATCAAAGAATTAGAAGTTACTTTTATTGTCCTAAACTTAAGGCCATGGTGCCTACTTATGTGAGGGCTTGTCCAGTATGTCAGCAAACTAAAGTGGAGCATGGTTCTAAACCTGGTTTACTTCAGCCACTGCCTATTCCTCAACAGGCCTGGGAAATTATCACTATGGATTTTATAGAAGGTTTACCTACTTCTTTGAAGAAGAACTGTATCTTAGTGGTGGTGGATAAGTTCACAAAATACAGTCATTTTGTGGCAATATCACATCTTTATACTGCTGCTGAAGTAGCTAAACTCTACTTAGACAACATTTATAAGTTGCATGGCCAGCCTAAAGTGGCCATTTCAGACAGAGATAAAACCTTCACTAGTCTTTTTTGGAAAAAACTAATGAAGAAGTTAGGTACTAAGACTCTATTTAGTACTGCCTACCACCCAGAGACTTATGGACAAAGTGAAAGGGTGAATCAATGTCTTGAACAGTATCTAAGAGGGTTGTGTTTCTCCCAACCAAAGCAGTGGGCTAAATGGTTATCTCATGCAGAGTGGTGGTATAATACCACCTATCATACATCCCTAAAGATGACACCATTTCAAGCCCTATATGGATATGCACCTCCTACAATGGTATGGCAATCAGACTCACCAGTGCATTCTGTCAGTGAATTAATGAAGACTAGAGATGACATTCGCAGACTAGTCAAATTTCATTTAGAACATGCAGCCAATCGCATGAAACAAAAAGCTGATAAAAAACGATCGGAAAGAAATTTTGCAGTGGGAGAGGAAGTGTACCTGAAATTACAGCCTTATCGCCAAACATCATTGGCTCTGCGTAAAAACTTAAAGTTAGCAGCCCGATACTATGGCCCTTACAAAATTACAGAAAAGCTCGGTAAGGTTGCTTACCGTTTGGCTTTACCTGAGACATCACGGTTACATCCCGTTTTCCATGTGAGTCTTTTGAAGAAACACATGGGACAGTTAGCCCCTTCTTCTACGGATCCTCCTGACATGACCGAGGAAGGTGAAATTAAAATTGAGCCTTTGCAAGTCATGGGAAGAAGAATTGTTAACAGGAAACACAAACCT